GGGCAAACGGCGCGGAGCGGGAGATGGCGGACGGACGGCGTAGAGGGAGAGAAGGCGCGACGGACGGACGGCGTAGAGGGAGAAGGCGGACGCGGACGGACGGCGTAGAGGGGGAGAAGGCGGACGAACGGACGGCATAGAACGGGAGAAGGCGGACGGACGGACGGCGTAGAGGGGGAGGAGGCGGACGGACGGACGGCATAGAGGGGGAGAAGACGGGCAAACGGCGCGGAGCGGGAGATGGCGGACGGACGGGGAAGAACATGACGCATTCATGATGCAAACCGAACGTGATACCGTTAATAACGGATCATTCAAGGTTCCCTTTACTGTAATAATTCATTCTGAATGGTTGGTTATTGTTTGTATGCATAGAAACATTCAGGGAGCTCTGTACAAAACTACATAATTATCATGTTCCTGCCAGGGTTCGAACCTGAGACCTTTCGCGTGTAAAGCGAACGTGATAACCACTACACTACAGGAACTTCAGATGAAAGTACCCAGGACAAAAGGTATCATTAACTTTAAGAGTAGAATTATTAACTTTTTAATGATTTGAGCATTAAAACTTAATAGGCTGTATCATCAACTTGTCAATGATTTTGATTCTTAAAGATTAAATGATTTGAACATTAAAGTTAATGGTAATTTCGCCGCATTTAATAGTTTGATTCTTAAAGATAATGATTTGAACATTAAAGTTAATGGTAATTTCGCCGCATTTAATAGTTTGATTACTAAATTTAATGATCAAATCACCACTTAATAATCGATTCTTAAAATATAGTAACTCCAATAATAACACACCAATAAAAGTTTGCCAGCGCGGGAATCGATCGTCAAGAATTGCAGTTCGACCAGGACATCCGACGCGTGTATTTACACGCGTCCACGAGGTGGAGTGATTACATTGATATGAAATTCGTATAGTGTTTCTACCTGTTGTTTTTCCTCTCCAGTGATCCCGCCTTCTTATAATAATATTATGGTATCCATATTGTATTGTCTCTATCGGTGATTCCTGTCTCCGGTGATTCCCTATGGTGTTCGTAACTTGTACTCAACGCGAGAATTGTCAAACCTATACGCGTACAATAAACGTGTCTGCGCTTTTGCAATATATTCTTGAATTATTTAACTTAAATCTAAAACATTCGTAATAGATTTACTGACAAACAAACTCTGCAGGCACTCATTATCGTATCAAGCTTACGTGTACGTATTCAAACAACATTAGATAGTTCATGATAATGCGGGCCCCTAAAACCGCGGGGCGCGTAACAAATCCTTGATACTACATATTGTTGATCCGGTAAGGGTTCTTAACCTGTGGTCCATGCCGGACCGCGTTGGGGTCCGTGGATGGGCTTCAGGGGGTCCGTGAACCACGCGCATAAAATTTGTGTGTTTATATGTGCTTATGCGCATTTTTCCGGGAGGGGTCCGTAGCTTTCACCAGATTCTTAAAGGGGTCCATGACTCAAAAAAGGTTCAGAGCCACTGACTCTAGGCCACTACAATCACGAGTCAAACAAGGGAACTAACGCAGCTTTCAGCTTTCAATAAAACTGTACTATAATATTAATGTTTCGCATGGCAAATCCTCCTTGTTGCGCGCCAAACACAGCTTCAAACGCTAGTGCGCAAATTCCGAGTCAGGTTGGCGGTAATGCAGATGGTCAGAACTCAGAAACGACATGTTATTGATGCCATAGTATATCTTATACATGTCACCACTGATGTGGTCACAGCACTGTCCGATGCGGCCCATGCCCGCCTGCCGCATGCTAGTAAATGCGCGCAAGTATACGTGTATGGTTGGCCACGGTGGAAAAAATCAAGAATACATGACTACATTATTATGGTCACCAATAAATCGTATTTATGGTCACCATAAATCGACCAATGGGAAGGAGGATTATATGCCCGGATATAATCGAAGCCAATCAAATCAAAGGAATTATGTCACCATAAATAACTTCCGTCCCCGTTTTGACCGTCTAGACGCTTTTTGTCCACCGTGGCCAACCCATGGTTGGCCACGGTGGACAAAATCAAGAATACATGACGCATATTAATGGTCACCATAAATCGACCAATGGGAAGCGAGGATTATATGCCCGATAATAATCAAGCCAATCAAATCAAAGGAATTATGTCCACCATAAATAACTTTCCGTCCCCGTTTTGACCGTCTAGACGCATTGTCTGGTTCGCTGCGCCCGCTGAGATTTTCACGCGAGCTAGACTGGTTGCGCGCCGAACTGTCGTCGCAGAGCGTGTACATTGTTGTAGCAGAGCGGTGAGCCGGATACCAGTCCAATACATTATGCAATTGTAAAACGGGGACGGAAGTTATTTATGGTGGACATAATTCCTTTGATTTGATTGGCTTCGATTAATATCCGGGCAATATAATCCTCGCTTCCCATTGGTCGATTTATGGTGACCATAAATATGATTTTATGGTGACCATAAATATGTATTTTTGTCCACCGGGCCAACCATATACGTGCGTGCGCTTACCTCGAGCACCTACGTGCATACATGTCAACAAGAGCGTATAAAGAAACCTTCTTTATATATATATACGCTCTTGATGTCAAGAGTACATAATAGAGATTATACTCTACAGTATTATGTACTTTTGATACATGTGTATGTCCTCGTACATGCACACCAGCTGTACGGGTGCTAATGCATGTACGTGCACGCTTGCGTGTATCCAAATATACCCACATATTTATGCACGCATGCATGTATGTGTGCGTTTGGTGCACGTACGCGTGTATGTGCACCCAAGAACACGCGTGTATGTAGAGGGGTGGTATGCTTGGGTATATATACTGAGGTTTTATGCAGATTTTGTTTACGTAGGACAGCATATAATTGACTACAGGGAACGACGAGACAAAAAAGATGTTGTAGTTTTTATTTTATGGTGGCAACCGCAAACGTGAGAATATCACGCGTAATCTGAAAATTATGCTCGCAGGCAGGTCGATCTCTAATCCGAATCTCTGATTAAAAGCCGTACGTGGAAAAGAACCAAAATGCCATATATAGTATATTTTCGTCTGTCACCATATGCAAGCGCAAACATCTAGTACCGTATACGGTCATAGCTTCCTCCAGAAATTCTTAGCTCTGGATAAGGGGTTGGCTGTACATGCGTGTGTGCGCGCGTATGTGCGTGTGCGCGTTCTTTGGATCTTTGTGCGATGTGGCTACAGTGTACAAGTTAATAAAGTTTATTCCGGTTACTACAACAAGTTTGACTTTATATCTTCATTCCTGTTTACATTTTGGTGCTCGTGACAGTCCAAAACCTGGGTATCCTTTTGCGGACACAACGCAAGTTAATTTACTTCATATCGATCTACGGGCCAGCAACGAAACAGAGAAAGAATGACGGAGAGCGAGAGAGGGAGAGAAGACGGAAAGAAGCAGGTTCTGATGATGAGATGGGAGCCATGCAGACTGCGCTAGCGCCGACGACGATGACGATGGCGACGAAGGATCGGCTGGAGATCGTGGAGAATCGCGAAGGCCTTATACTACAAACGATCACGAGCCACGAGCCACAGAAGAACTGGAGAAGGAAGAAGAAAATTGGAGCGAGATAAAAGGAGAGCGGATCGAGAGAGCCAGAGAGACAGAAAGAAGACAGAGAGAGGAGAGTCAGAAGGAAAGAAGCAATGCCGAGACGCCGCAGCTCAGCAGACACCAACGGAAGCCGACGAGAAGAAGCTGGAAGAAAGAAG